ACCTTGGAAAGCATGTAACAACTGAAATGAGGCTGCTATCCCATCATTCCCAAGATAGCTGTAAGATGCTTCAACAGGGATTCCCTTATCTCTTTCACCAATGGGCTTCGGCGTGCAGGATCAAAGATTAGAACATGGATCAATCATGAGAGAAAATGAACTTTTGGAATCCTAACTAAAAGAACATATGTCAGACACAAGGTAGATTGACAACTCCATAATCAGAAGGATAAACAGGCTAAGACAGCAAATAATCACCTCCATCATGGGTGAGTCTTAAAAAGTCGTGAACATCAAGCTTCCTGTGAATAAGACAATGAAGATGTGGTACCTGAAAGAAAAAGATAGAAACTGATTCAATACTGACTTACTTTCAACAAGATAAAATAAATTATGCACTTTATTACTACCAATAAATATTATGTGAGTTTCATAATGCTTATCAAATGCTTTTCTAAAATTTAAAACAATATGAAGGATTTTGATCATGAAAAGTGATGGACCAATGTCAAGCATAGACGTAAAAATTGTAGGATTGCAAAAGTGGCCAATATATGAATTATATTAGAAACTTACTATAAAATACTACAGAAAATTCTAAGGGAGCTGAAATTTAGAGATTGATGACTGCTAAAACATATCTACAAAAATGACAGAAAGAATCTTTGTTCATCAAATGACAATGTTTAGTGGCTCGAATAGTACCCCTACCTTGTCAAGGGGCGAATGAACCAACTCATCTTCAAAGAAACCATTTAGAACTCATTATTATCATCTTATCCACATAACATCTGAATTCAACGTGAGTACACCACAAACTCAAACATCATTAAGCTTCAACTCATTCTCTGGACAGTCATAAATCTGCATCATCAATTTTGACTTTCATCATTAAGGAGAAAAAAGGAGCAGCTTTGGTTACATAGTTCAAACTGGAAGGCTTATTATTTAAACAAGAAGAGGAGTCATTTTTACCTTTACAGACAAGGAAGAGAATTTCTGTCAATATCTGGAACTGTACTTACACTAAATGCCCTCAAGTTTAGAATCCTTGGACAGTGAAGAGAGAAGCAACCCCAGTCTCCTCTATAAAGGTAAAAGAGATAATTAGCATACAGGATCCCCAAAAATATACTATGATTAATATTCTACGAAGAGAAAGAAACCCCAAGGGCAATTTTCTATTGTCGGTAAGCCTTTCAAACTTAGCACATCAAAAGACATACTTAAACTTACTACAACATCGTTTTATATCCCAATACACAGAGAAAAGCTATGGGTGAGACTTTTCTTCTTACCATCTTCTTGACACTGGGGAACTTTCAAAATCATGATCTGCAACCTCCATTAACACAGTAGTCAGTCAGGTAAAGTAAGAATCACATAGATTACAAACTGCAGGACTCAATCATCAATCATTATTCAGGTTCAATTACAGTTCACGCTATGTGCCAATGATGGTCCATGAAATAAGCAATCACATATTTCTCATACTTAATTATTAGAACCATTTCCATTTTTTTGTTGAATTTTTACCCTTGTTGTTGTAAGTGCAGAAGTTAATCAAAACTGAGCCAATAAAATCAAAATGATAAAGAAAGTCCACCATATCCACGTGGTCAGAGCATCATCATCCATCCTTTGGCGCTTCTCTCCCTGTGGGATGTGCCATCCGGCACATTCACCATTACTTCAGATAAGTTTCAGTCCACAATTCTGTCCTGGAACCCTACAAACAAAGAAAAAGGAAACACCCCATAGATCGTGAGGCAAATCAAATTCTTGTATTTCAAATATGTTCTATGTAACAATATTTTCTCATGGAAACAAAGAAGAATATACATTCCATTCACAATCAACATTTGTTGACAAGAAAGCAAATATTCCTACCATCTCTACTGAGTATACCAACAGATCATAACCGCAATATCCATGACATCCTAAACAAGAAGGTATAAACAGACTAACCGGATGCAGTACAACAAACGACGTTCCCAGACTCGTATATCAGTGAATCAAGTGAAGAATGTCATGGATACTGAGAAAAATCCATGAACTTGTTTGTCCTCCATACAGAACCATCCTACATAATAACACACACCAAATCTTTAGTAGAAATAAATATTATCAAATGGCAATAGAATGCTACATCAAACGCAAAATACTACCTTATAAGCACCCGCATAGACTCATTTCCCAACATATCTTGTATCATTCCACGAAAGCGAACCAAGGTATTGGGCTGAACCCTCTCATAGTTGTCGGGATTAAGAATCGGAACCTACACATAGTAATACAAGTAAAATCAAATAATTCAGCTCTCCAAATTTATCAAACAATTAATTTTAGGGATACTGTTATAAAACACCCCGCTTTTTAATCAAATATACGGCAAAAAGTTTCAATTTTTTTTCTTCGAGCACCCTTACAGAGGGGACTTATATAATAAAAATATTGACAAATAAATAAAAAAATTTATCCACATATTATTAACGCAAATCTCAGGTCCCTTAGTTCGGTTTCCCTTAAAATCCCTAGTGATCTAGCGTGAAGAGGTCTGTTGATTTGTTTAATTCATCCAGGCAGCGTTAGAAAGCAATTAAATTTATTGAAGCGAATCAGTTAATAAAAAAACAAGGTCTAGGATTTACATGGGAGAGGCCGCCTTTATCGAAGAGAAATTGACGGAAAAGTTCGAGAGCGCCCCAATCTTTGCCGTCCAAAGAAGCTGGATCGGATCCTGACGCGATCGCCTTCTCGAAGGTCAATCGGACGGCTCCCAGTGGGTTCGCCAGACAATCGTACAGTGGTCCGACCATTTTGATACTCACCTCTGCGCAACTGTGGAGTGTGAGAAACTGTGGCGCCAACCTTCATAAGTATGAGAAGGTTTTCGCGCCAAATATATGTAGGATTCCCGCCAGTTTAGTAGGTGGGCCTACGCCCAACGGCTGTTACTATAGTTTAGGGCTAAATAAAATCCAGGCCCATTAATATTTCGGTCCGGGCTACTCATGAAGGCCCAAATTTGATGGGCTTGGCCCCGATATATCGCCGGAAACATAGGCTTACCGATTTTAAAACCATCAATGATTAGTGAACCTGCAGTTCTATTTGCAACTACTTTGGAAATATTATCCTAATGTTATTTCTTTCTCGTATTTCAAATATTTCGTATAGAACCCAACAAGCTATTGAGTGTTCTTTAAATGGTTACAATAACCACGAAAATGTTAATAAATTCCAGTAACAACAATCATCTTTTTGATTGGTACCGCAATGGCCATAGATTTTTTTTTTTTTTTTTTTTTAAATTGATTGATCGTTAAATTAAATTGTAAAATATGATGACTAGGGATAGTTGCTTCAAAGTTTGACTTATACATAGAAACCCATGGGCCCTTTGAGCCGGTTTGAGAGAATGGATGGGCCGGGTGAAAGGCCCATGGGTATCTCAAACTTCTTGATGATACCCACACCACAAGAAGAAGAGTTGTAAATTTATAAATGGAATTGGAATCATTACACAGAATTCTGATGTATAATGTATTAATAACAAAATCAATGGCCTTCATCCTGAGAATAGTCTGGTAAAAAAGTTTCCAGAGTTGGCTTTCTCCAAACAAGCAACATGAACATATCTTCCAAACTTGTCCAGTTGCCTTGCTTCACCCCTTGTATCTTTCTTGCAGACCTTGCAGGTCTTGTCAACCCACCCTTCTTCTACATATTGCCCATCCACTGTTCATAACAAAAGAAAAAGATTAATAATCACTTTGGAAATTAATAAACAACTACTAATTCAAAAACTAAGTTAAAAGTCTGTACCATCAATGTAGGATTTGAAGAAGTCCTTATATGTCCCTCCAATTTTCCTTCTAAGAGCCCCATACTGCATAAACAGAAATAGAGTTTTATGAACTGCATAACATATTGTTAGAATTAAATGAACTTAAGAAACCTGCTCCTTGCTCATCTTGCCGCCGGACTTGGTGGTTTCTCTGGCGTCTTCAAGAAGCTGAGCATCCTCTTGAGATCTTACTTGAGAAAAATCAAGAGCTTCAGTTACACTGCTAAACAACGATTGCTTACTCTTCTTCTCAGGCTCTTCTTCCTTCTTGGCTGAAACCCTGAAACTGGAGACCTTGCTAAGCCTGAAGTTAGACTTAGACAAGTTATGTTTAACCCCAACTTGTGAAGTGAAACCATTAGGTGAAAGTGACAAATGAAGAGCCCTGAGTCCCATATTTACTTCTATGATTCTGAGCACACGAAGGCAGCCATTGAAACTTGGTCTTGTTATATATATATTAGTGTGCATGTGTGTCTTTTTTTGCCCAGTTGGACCACTGAATTGCAGACAAGTGGATGTTGCCACTCTAAACCTGGTGGTTGGTGTACGACTACGTGGCCTATTGCCAGACTATTATATTTGAGAGGAGGACGCATTTTGTTTTTGTTGTTGGGTCAATAGTATTTGAGAAATATCTTGATAGAAACATTCATGGTTAGGGGAAAAGAGGTGTACGTTTTTGTAGTTCAGCTAAAGATAACAGTACTTCCCAGTAACATTTTAGGGGATAGTTAACATTTTTGTGGAGATTTGTTGGTCAGCCTTTAAATTATGATCCGAAGATTGTTAACCGCTTGTTAACTTATAACTTATCAAGTAAGGTAATATAATCCCGCTTAACCAGTGGTCTAGTGATCAACTAAGACTCTTGGATATATTATTCAATAGATCCTGAGTTTGATCCACTTGAATTGTTAATAAGGGTAGTTTTTGAAGAGATTTACTCGGCTATCAACTTTAAGGCCCACTAGACTGCTAATAGAGATGGTCATTGAGAAGATTTACCTAGCTGTCAACTTCAAGGCCCAAGAGATTAGTTAAAGTGAAGGCAAACTAGTCCGAACACTCTCGATCACCCAAAAAAAAAAATCATCCCGCTTCTTTGTAATTAACAAGATTAGGTTAATGACATACTAATAGAAGTATGGAAAGATGAAAGATTTTTACACTTCTATATACGATAGTAATTTCAGTCTCCCATATCATCATATATGTGGTTACATATTCATCGTGCTATTTCTAGGAACCTTGTTAACCTACACATCTCGCTTAGTTTAGTTCATCTCTATAAGCAGGTGAAGCTACTTGCATGAGAAATTTACACAACATAGACCATGCCAACTTCTAGTAAAGATACCGGCGGTACCTTCAGTGCTACATCTGGTCCCCTGCAGTTTCTCCTCAAGAAATTATACCCAAAGTTAATGGCCAATCTCTTCAGGAATGATGACCCTTGTTTTGCTTTAACATGTGAGTGTCCAAGTATAAATGCAGTACCAGCTTGTTGAGCTGCAAACAGGTCTTCTAGCTCTTCTCGCAACTGTACATTTATCTCAGAATGTGCATCTGTATCAGACTCGTCATCGATAGCAAATCTTACTCTTCTCTGAACTACGTTAACAGGTTGCATCTCGATAACATCTGTCACGCTTTCTACTGAAGTAAAACCACCTGAGACACTTGCTGGCTGCAATGTCTCCTCAATTTCGTAAGCTGGTATGCCAGCAAATGGCACCGTTCCAATCACAGCCAATCTGTAATCACTTGATGATTCATTCGATCGAGCTGTACCATCCTCAATACATGAATTGGTCTCATCAGTTTTATACCAGTCATAGCGGATGAAATCAGCCAGCCTATCAACTAATTCAGATTCAAATGAATCAACATCCTGATGCACATCACGGTATCCATATCGAACGATGCAGCGGTAAGACCGATGACCTGGAGGACCTACACGGCCCACAAGATACCGCTCAGCAGGAGGCACATAAGGAACAGGTACAGATTTTACGCACACAAAAACAAGGATACGATGGAAGGCTGGCAGGTTGGTAACGAAGCGGGAGAAGTTAGCAGGTATGCCAGAGGTGAGATCAGTGAAAACCAAACCAATGCCAGGAACTCGAGCAATTCCCAAGCTTGGACCCAGGGCTAGAAGCCATTCTAGTGATACTTTGTTGTGGAGATCATATTCATACTTCTCAATGGTGGCATACTGCCAAACAAACATGATGGTGGTGAGGAAGAGAGCTAGGAGGATGGGAAGCCAGGCACCCTCCCGGAATTTGGTTAATGAAGCTGAGAAGTAAAGCAATTCAACGAAACCAAAAAAGAGTAGAAAAGCAAGCGCTAATATAGGGGGCTTGTGCCAACAAAGGATAATGACCAAGGAAGTGAGGCATGTGGTAACTAGCATCACTGTCATCACAGCTAATCCTGCAATAAATAACAGCAAAGTTATAACACTTCAACCTGATGAAATTTATTCAATTACTTTTCTCTTCTTCTAACTTAAATGTTTTGAAAGAAGCCTCATTAATTTTAAACACATAAGCAAAGGACAAGCTTAATATTATTCCAAAAAACCAGTTTTCATAGTCAGGGCAATGGTGGTAGGCTTTCCCAAAAATCTAGACACAAGTTTGTCATAGCTTGACGGAAAACAATTTAAAAATTGCCTTCAATGAAGTGGTAAAATTATAATTGTCAGAACCATATACTCGGTAACTTACCCGATGCATTTCCCATGTGTTTTGTGTCTCTAAATCCTATGGTCACAGCAATACACAAGACCATGAGCATCCAATTGATTTCAGGAATATATATCTGCCCGTGTATCTTGTCAGAGGTGTGAACAACCTTGACTCTTGGGAAGCAGCCAAGTGATTGGCTTTGGTTAATGATAGAGAATGTTCCGCTTATTATTGCTTGGCTTCCAACAACTGAAGCAAGAATGGCTATTATAAGCACTGGCCACCTTACACTTTCTGCACCCAAAAACTTAAAGCCATCATATTTTTCTCAACCACAGATGGATAAATGTCCCAGTTAATCACACAATTATCGGTTGCCATGCAGCTTGTACAGATTACATTCATAAGTATCATTGCTTTCACTTTTAGAGAACAGTGACAAAGGAATACCTGGAACCGAGACATAGAAACTGATCTCGTAACTAGATTGATGATGGTGTGACAAGTAAGCAGCTTGCCCCATATACGCCAATATAAGTGCAGGATAAACCAGAAGGGTGAAAGCAATCTACAGCACAGAACAGAGTCAGAATCATTAATACGCAGCTTGGACTTAACCAGACAAGACACTGCTAGCAACAAAAGTTTAAAAATCAAAAGTTCTCATCCAAAATCATTGTCAGGAGTACCTGGATTGCAACATAAGAGAAGTGGCCAAGATCAGCAAACATAGCCTCTGAGCCTGCAGATACAAACATAACATTTAGCATCCTCGTTTATTGAACTACATAAAGTCAAGAAAATTTTCAAAAGCTCTAAGTCCTAGTAAATTTTCCATCAGGTTTTATTCCTGATTTACAATTTGTAAGCTGGTTTACCATCACCTTACATAGTTGGCAAATACATAACACATGACCCTTATTTCCTGCATTAACCCGGTTATTAACAAATGTGACTACCATACATGCATCAATGCAGCAAAAGTAACTGGCAACTGCTTGTTGATGTTGCTCAGAGTTTAATTCTTTGACAGATATGTTTATATCTATGTCACTATATGAGAATTTACTGTACTTGCATTTTTTCCAAACTTACCTGTAATGCACAACAATATTCCACCCAAAGACATCCACCCTCCTTTCCTTGTCTTCTTCAGGAACTTGAACATGTAATATGGAGAAAGGGCTTCATATATTCGAGGGTTCCAGTGTAAAATATTATATAGGCCAAGGGCACTTATGCAAAGTAGCCATATCAACACAACCGGTGCAAACAGAAACCCAACCCGATGTGTGCCATAGTGTTGAAGTGCAAAAAGGCACACTATGATGATGCAAGTAATTGGAACCACCGCATCTGCAAATGAGGACGTCAAAACTCATGATTAATTATAACCACTACATTGTTGCACATT